AGAGAACGTGGGGCTCTCCGCTGACAGAGACCAACTGGCCCTACAGCGAGTCGGTCAATCCCGCTGACAAACACACACACACACACACACACACAGTACAATGGCAGATAGAGAACGAGAGAGAACGTGGGTCCAGAGAATGAGGGAGAGCAAGCGAGCGAGGGACACACACAGAGAGAGAGAGAGAGAGAGAGAGAGAGAGAGGGTGGTTCTATGCCCTGCCGTGGACGGCAAGTAAGTACAGCTGTCTTCCTGAGGGCAGACCTACTCTGTTTTTGCGACTGAGGAGAGCCTACGTGGCAACAGCTATTATATGCAACAAGAGGAAAAAGGAGTGGCAGATGATGAAATCATTTTGGTAGCTGTGCTTGCAGGGGTCCACCGTATAGGCTTAGCGGGTAGGAGTAGTGGTGGGTAGATAGTGCGCCTCGCTCCACTTAAAAATATATATATACATTTGTGCAAAACGAGAGTGAATCTTCCGCTAGAATATGGAAAGATACACCACCATGACTTTTTGTCTTATGTGCATTTTGACAGTAGTGGAGCGAGGCCCTCAGTGAAAGGTGAAATTGAGAGAAGTCTAGAAAAAGAGTCCTTCGGGACATCCGTTAAAATTGGAACGATACAGAGAGAGAAGATCAGCATGGCCCCTGCGTTTAAAAAAAAAAAAAAAAGGAAAAGGAAAAAGAAAAAGAAAAAGAAAAAGTCGAGAGAAGAACATATAGAGCATGGTTTCCCGAAAAAATATATACATATATAGAGCATGGTCCCACTAGCAATGGGGAATCTGGGCGTGTTTTAGGCAGAGATGCAGAAAAGGAGTTCAATCTCGATTTTCTGCACCTTTCCACAAACAAGTCTAGATTCAGGTGTTCAATCCAATCCTCTTTGGTAGTGGGACCTCGCCCTATGTCTTTGGAGTAGTGGTAGGAAGGTAGTGAAAGGCAAATTAAAAAAATTTGAGAGAAGAAAACAAAACAAAAAAAAGAAAAAACCAAAAAAATCAGTTTGGTAATCAACGAGCCTATGGGCCGAAAACGCAAAAAAGTTCGGGAGCACTCCCGAACGCGGGAGATGTGAAAAAACCTTTCGATCCAGCGGCCTAGCTCAGTTGGCAAGGCATATAAGTGGCATTCAGGAGTCTTGGGTTCAATCCCCATTGGCCTCATGTACCTTCCTGGGCAAGCTTGGCGCCCTCCACCTAGAGATATGCCGTTGGTCCCCCGAGTGGCATTGAGCAGAGACTGCTGATGTTCATAGGGGGAG